GTGACTTTGGCCAAGTGACTTTACTTCCCGGGTCTCCGTTCCCCGGTTTGGAAAAGGGAGAGATGATAATGGTACCTATTGGTACTTAATGACCCATAAGGTCATTAAGGGGCTTCTTTGGATAATCTAAGGGGCCTGGTATAGGGAAATAATCGGAGACAACATCACAGACAACTTACCACGGACAGGCTCTGTCCTAGGTGCCTTGCAATGTACTGGGCCCTCACAGGGACTTTGGAGGCTCTTACATTATCCTTGTAAGTAGCAGAAGGGCCCGGCTCTCTGCAGAGCCAGAGGGCTGAACCAATATGCTATGTGACTTACAGAGAGTAGCCACCACAAGCTGGGCCCTGAGTTCCAGGCCACAGGGACATAAAAGTCCACTGGACATGGGCAATTCCTCCAGGAAGACTGATGGCCACCTGAGACCCTTTGCTCAGAAGGAATTCATCAGGCCCAAAGCCTCCGAACTCCTAAGAACAGAGCAGAGGCGGAGCTGGAGAAGGACTGAGCTAGGTGGTGACCAGCCGTGAGCACAGGGTACTGGGGAGCTACCGAAGGTTTCAGGCAGGGGAAATGGCATGACTGCAGGCCGGGAGGAAGCAAACCGGGAGATGGAGCCCTATAGGGAGACCGCCGGGATATTCTGAGCAGAAGAGAAGTCTGGGGTGAGAGGGGGAGGTTCTGGAGGGGGAGCGGTGCTGGACAGATTGTTTCCCATCCTGCGCCTTTGGGTGACGCTCCCCTGGCCAGAGAGGGAAGCTGTGGTTGAGGTTGGCAGAGCTGACCCCCCTGGCCATGGACCGATCAGCTCCAGACTCACAGGGAGGAAAAATCTGTAACTCACTGAATTTGGGGGTCTTTCTGCTACATCAGCCTGGCTTGTACCCTAAGTCACCGTGTGACCATAGGCAAGGCATTTTACTTGCGTGGGTCTCTGTTTCCACATCTGTAAAATGGGGTAATACTAGAACCCACCAAGATTCAGAGATGGTGCATGTAAAACCAGCATGGAGGGGGCAGGCAGTCAGCGTCCTGTGCTCCCACCCAAGTTCCCCCTGGTTGACCCTGTGTGGGAGACACTCCCAAGTTCCCGTGTAGCCTGAGGGCAAGTCCCTTATTTTCTCTTCCTTCTTCTGACCCCCCCACTGGCACCCCGTGCAGGGCAGTGGACACAACCAGACCCTTGACTCAGATTTATACAATAACTGGGTCTGGGTGACTTTCAGACAGAGGTGATCCCTCTCTTGTATTTCACAGACTGGGAAACTGAGGTCTAGAGAGAGGCAGGAATTTGCCCCAGCTCCACAGAGACTCAGGCAGAGTGGTGGCTGGGTTCAGTCCTTGGTGGGCACTGGGGGGAGGAGTCATCTCTGATGTAAGTGCTGGGGGGGGGGGGACTCAGCCCCACCCCGCTCCCCCTTGCTCACTGTGGTCTCAGCCACCCTGGCTCCCTTGCAGTTCCTCATGGTCACCTCAGGGCCTTTGCAATGACTGTTCCCCCTAGTGAACTTACCGTTCCCTGGCTGCCTCTTTCTCACTGTGTTAGTTAGTCCCCACTTTAGGCACTACCTCTTCAGAGAGGGCTTTCCCTGATCGCCGGAAGCTGGACCCTCTGCGATCTGTTTCTGCCTCCTGTTTATTTTCTTTACTTGCCATCGATTGTCAATTTAGTTTTACAAACTAAAAAAAAAAAAAAAAAATTGGGGTTTGGGCCCGTCTCTCTCTCTAGGCTGTTCAGTTCTGTGAGCACGTGACCGTCTTGTTTGGTCCAGCCCCATCATGCAGCCTGGCCTTGACCCATACGCGTTGTGTGCATAAATGAATCTATACATGAGTGGATAAATACGTGAGCGAATGTTCCAGGCCTGGATGTCCACCATCACATGGAATTTGCATGATTTCCCTGTGTGGTAACCCGACTCCACTCTCCCCACTGTGCAGATGGGAGAAAGGGAGGCTCCAGGAGATCTCACGGGGTAAGGCAGGAATGTGTCTGATGCTAAAGGCCATTGGACATCCCTGACCTCAGGACCCACGAGAACCTCAGCTGAGCAACTCCTTGTGAACCTAACACAGGGAAGTGACACATTTATCCTGGACGTGGCCTGGACCAGACTCCATTCTCCAAAGCACCGCTCCATCAAAAGATGCCCATGCCGTTGTTGCCAACGCAATGCCGTTAGCTTTCCGAAGCATCTTTAAATTTTTTTTTTTCAACGTTTATTTATTTTTGGGACAGAGAGAGACAGAGCATGAATGGGGGAGGGGCAGAGAGAGAGGGAGACACAGAATCGGAAACAGGCTCCAGGCTCTGAGCCATCAGCCCAGAGCCCGACGCGGGGCTCGAACTCACGGACCGCGGGATCGTGACCTGGCTGAAGTCGGACGCTTAACCGACTGCGCCACCCAGGCGCCCCCCGAAGCATCTTTAAATGCAAGAGGTGAAGACTCACACAGACACCGGGGCGGGGGGTGGGGGTGGGGATCTGGAAAATGGGGTCAGTCCCCCCAGCCACCAAGACAAACCATCCTGATGCTAGCTGCTCCCTTCCTCCCTGCAAAGGGCCACCTTTTACCTCGGCCATGGCTGTCGTCTCTGGGGGTGCCCAGTCAACTCTCTCCCTCAGCGTGGAAACTGCTTTCGCCGGGGACATGCAGAGATCTTGGGAACAATGCGATCTGCCTGTCTGGCTCCACCGGGACCTATCAGGTACCAGTGATAAAAGCTCTTGTCTTGGAGAGCTTTCCAGAAAGTTCCTTTGGTGCTTGACATAAGTGGAGGGGACACTCCCCCAGCAGTTTTGTGGTTGGTGTCAGGATGCCTCAGAGAGGCCTGGATGAGGGAGGCAGCTCATAGATGGAAGGTGCACTGGAGGTGGTGATTGGCTGTGCCACCTTGGATGAAATCCTTTCCCTCTCTGGGCTCTAATTTCCTCATGAGTAAGATGGGGAGAATGCCGATCTGATCTAGGAAGAGGTGATTCTGGATACGATTCTGCATAGGATCAGAATCTGAATTCAAGGGCCCTATGAATGCAGATTCAGGTATCCCTGAAGCCAGTTCCTATGAGTGGTGGCCCCCAGGAGATCCAGCCAGGGCCAGGGCCACACCAGCCATGCCCCCATAGGGCCCTTGGGCTGCCCAGTGTCCTTCCATTGGTCCCGTCTGCAGGACAGGACACCGTGGGTCAGCATCGCTGTCAGGGGACTTCTGGAGGTCGGCAGGTCCTCTGTCCTTATTGTACACATGGGAAACGCAGGCTCAGAGAGGGCCAGAGACTCTGCTCCAGGGACACGGCCAGGACAGCGAACCGGGGTCTGACAACCCCGGGCGGGACACAGCTGTGTCCTGGGCCAACCCGGGGATGAGATGGAGCCTGGGACCAGGCGTTGGGGGGAGGGGGGCCAGGAGGGGGGCAGAGATGGAGAGAAGGCAAATGGGAGTCAGAGAGATGGGTGGTGGAAAAGCGATCGCTGGTTCTGGCCTGTCCAGCATCGCTGCTTCCGGAAACGGTGCCTGGAAACTGCTAGTCCGCATGCCTGGGGTGGCACTGACCCCAGCCCTGGTTCCAGGCCTGATTGGGTGCCCCAGGTCTGGCCAATCAGACTCACAGTGATAAGTACAAAGATGGGCACGAAAGGACCAGTCCTGGCTGGAGAAAATCATGCCCTTGCTGGAATCACGGGGACAGGGCAACTCTCTGTCTTAGGGATGCTCAGCTGGGAGGCCACCAGCCCAGGGCTGCCGGAGCCACCTGTCAGGAGAAAACCTGACTGAGAGTGAAGTCAACGGTGCAGGGCTGAACAGGCAGCTGGCATGGAGGAGGGAGGAAGGTAGGAAGGAAGCATGAATATTTAAGAACAGCTATCTGAGGGTAACCTAAATCAGCCTGGCCTTTTTCAGAAAGCGAGTGTAGACGGCGATGTGGGCCTTCACCACCCCAGAGTCTGTCCGTGGGGCTCACAGCTTTGCCTCCACCCCGTCTCCAGCACACCTAGCCGCTAAGCTCAGCAGTACACAAATAAATGCCATGGATTCAGGAACACATGCTCACCTTGCCTGGGCCCGGAAGGAGCGGGGGCCCACCCTAGGGGTGGATTTCCTCACCCCGTTTACCTCTCTGGGAACTAACGTTTATTAGGCACCTGCTCGTGCCAGGCTCTGTTACAAAGTTGACGTACATCCTTTCATCGCCTCCTTGCCACAGCCCAGCCAGGAGGGAGCTTCATCTCCGTTTCACAGACAAGATAACCGAGGCCTCGAGAGGCTGAGCCACTGGCCTCAAGTCCAAGAGCTGGAGCAGGTCCCTCCCACCCCAGGGCCCTGCCCACAGCGGATGTTAAACAAAGGCCTACCGAGCAAATGCTGTGTAAGGCCACGTGAGGCTTCTGAGCAGCACCCTGCCCGCCGTCCTTCCCCACCCCCTCTCTGACCCTGTCCTCCGAAGGAAGTTCACGAGGAGCCCCTGGTCTCCCGGACCCAGGCGAAGGCTTGCTCTGCCCCCCACCCCCACCTCCCGCCACCCCCTAGCTGCGGGTGGCAACACTGTTGGACCAGGTGGGAGGAGAGGGTTAGGGTCTCAGCTTGGAGGCTGGAAGGATCTGGACCTGAAGATTGGGGTCCCGCTCGAGGCGGAGTGGACGGTCCCCAACAGCCCCTGAACGTGAGCTGAGGTGAGCTAGGGTGACAGGGAGTGCTGAGAGGGCAGCCTCCAGGCAGAAATCTGGCTTTTCAAGGACCAGACGGAGCCTGGCAGGACCCCGGCCCAGAGCACAGATCGGAAACTTTGTTCTAGACCCTTCTTCGGGGGTGGAGTGTGTCTTCTTTGACCCAAAGCTGCTTCCGGTTGTTTTTAAGGGCTGTTCGGGGCCATCGCCGTGGCTCTTGTAGCCAGAAAGAGTGGGTGCAGGCGGGGGTGCAGCGGTGGAGCTCGGGGTCTCCATCCTGTCACGTTTGACCAACTTTTCCCAAGGGTATCCGCAGCCCCGAGAGATGCTCTGGGATCAACAGGGCCTGTTTTCAAATAAGGACATTTGGAGAAAGCTGCCCATGCTAACTCCTTCACAGGCTGTCAAAAGGCATGTGACCACATTAAAGGCCCTGACGGGTCCTGCAGCTAAGCATGCCTGTTCACGTTGATTTAACTGGGTGTTTCCCTCCCTCCCTTGACCCCAGGTACTTTTTGAGGGGCGCCTGAGATATTCTCTTTGGAACATATTCGAGGACATGCTGGCGGTAAAGGAATGCCCCTTAGATCTTCTGAAGCCCCCGAGAGGCCAGGTCTGGCCTTCAGATGCTGGGGCCTGGGAGAAGTGGACTGTGCTTGTATATTTCTTTGAGGACCTAAGTTAAGTTTGCTCTCCGCTCATTCAGGGTATTGTGACCCTCAAGCTGGCAGGGGACCCCTGCTGGAGACAGAAGGGAAGAGGAAAGAGGGGTACTATAGAGTCAGATCCCCCCCACCCCCCCCCACCCCGCCGCCACCCACCGTGTCACAACTTGAGGGGAACAGGGAGGCAGCAGATCCTCTGGACTCCTGGGCAAGGAGGCCTGGCCCGGGGGGGGGGGCCCGGGTGTCCAGGACCATACCCTGGCACTGTGTCCCGTGTTTGGATCCAGCTCGTTCAGGGAATACCGAGTCCCGGCTCTTCCTGTGGGTCCAGCGTCCGGGTGTCGCTGCTTATTAGACGCCCACGGGACGCACCATCATGCGGGTGGCCCGCAGCGAGTAGCTGGGGCCTTGAAAGTAGTGCCAGCGGATGCCGTTGAGCTTGCGCACGTGATGGTGAGCCGCGTAGTAGATACCATTGAGATTTGAGAGGCCGCAGGCATCAAACCACCATCCTGGTGGAGGGAGAGGAAGACGCTTTGGGGAGGTAGGGGCCAGCCAGGGGCCCGAGGGCAGCCCTCTACCCCGGGGACCGATCAGGGCCGCTGCCTCCTCCAGGGAGCCAGCTGGCAGGAGATGGACAGGGCGGGAGGGGCACCGGGGTGGGAGGGAGAGTCCCGGACCTTCCGCTCAGCCCGTGGCCTCTGGGGGACGGCACCTTGATGGTCCCTGAGCTTGTGTCCGCCTCTCTGCGGGGCTCTGGTGTCTCTGTACTCTCTCCCTTTGGTCTCTGTTGCCCTGCCTTTCGGGGTCTGTCTCTCACACAGCGTGTCCGTCTGTCTTTCTGTGGTCTGCACATCGTCTCTCCATCTCTCCCTCTGGACTTCTGTTCCCGTGGGACTCTCTGTGTTCACTGCTCTGTGTCTCTATGTCCTGATGTCTCTCTTATCTCTGTCTCTGCGTCCCAGGAGGTCTCTCCTCCTCTCTCTGCCCCTCCTACTCACCCCATCTCCTGCTTTCTGACCTGTGTCCCCCACGCCCAGGAGCACTGCCTGAGCCGGGCATTGGTGGGGAGCTGCCCCTCTTGATCCTCTGCCCGCGTCTCCCCATCTTGGTCCTGCTCGGCCTGGGGGGGGGGGGGAGTGGGTTCTCAGGCCTGGGGTTGGGACCCCACCCCCCCAGTCTCAGGCGAAAACTGGTGGTGCCTGTGTCAGGATGAGGCAAGACCCTGAGGGAACCTTGAGGACTTGGTGGGGGAAGGGGCGGATAGGGCACAGCCAGGCCCGCCCAGGGGTGGGGAGGAAATGGGGGTGTCCAGCCAAGTGAGCCTGTGGGTGAGCGGGGCTTCGGCCCACTGGCACCCACCTCCAGACAGCATCTGGGCACACTTGCAGAGGCAGTTGTCATTGTCTGCATCACGGGTGCTGAAGTTGGTGCCTTGCAGGACCAGGCTGCTCTGGCGCCCTGCTGAGCCGCTGTATCCGCTCAGAGAAAGCCTGGAGGCCACCGGGAGGTGGTGATGGGAGAGGGGTCCAGAGTGAGGATGGGGCTGGTTAAAGAACGACCTCCCCCACGAGGCTTGGTCCTAGGCGGGGGCACCTCTCCGGTTGTTCTGGGGGGAGGGGCGCCCCAGCCTAGGGTGCTTCGGCCACCCCTGCCCCTGGATTACCCTCCCTGCCTGCTGCCTCCCCGGGAACAGAGCACCCACTGTGGGCCAGGCCTCCCTCACCTCACCGACCCCGAGTCTCGGACAAGAGTGAGAGGGATCAAAATAACGACGAGAATGAAGGTGATGGCTAACGTTTTTTTTGAACGGCTACTATGCCCTGGGCATCGTTCCAAGCGCTTCACGTGGGTTAACTCATTCTTGCTCAGTCCTCGCAACACCCTATTGGTTCCAGTTTACAGACGAAGAAACAGAGCCCAAGAACCTGAGGAGCCTGCCCCGGGCCTCAGAACGGAAGAGGGTGAGAGCCAGATGCCAGCCCGGTGTGGCCTGCCTTGGGAGCTGCGTGCATTTCCCTCGCCAGCTGACCGCCCTGCCACCTTCAGGAAGCCTTCCCTGACCACACCAGCCCACACGGCTCTGTGCCCCGGGGCAGCCCCAGCCCTGTGACTTGCGCATCCGCAGCCCGCTGGGGAGGGTTTCTATTTCTCTGCCAGGCTGTGAGATCCTCTTGGGCATGTCCAGGCCTGCATGGTGATTACGACCATGAGCTCTGGGGGACAGAACGCTGAGGTTCGAATCCCCGCTCTGTCATTCTCCGGCGGCATGACCTCGGGCAGCCTGCGTCACCTGTCAGCTTCAGCTTCGTCATCTGCTAAAATGCTAATAACGGTAATATTAACCGTGGCGCCCTGGTCTGGTTATTGTGGTCCCATGACTTCGGCGTGTGATGAGTGCAGAGCAGGGCGGGCACGCAGTAGATAGTCAGCCCGTTGAGGGCGGGCTGTCACGTGTCCCTGCGTTCCCAGCCCTTGGCATGTGGCTGGCGCGGGCTCCTGCTCAGCCTGGTTGGAGAGAGTATTGCGTGCTTGTAGCACAGGCAACGCAGGTGGGGACCTGGTCTGAGGACGATGAAGAAGGTCCTACGGGTGGAGGCGGCCAGGGAAGCTCAGGGAAGCTCTGGTTCCCCCAGGGCAGGGCCTGGGAGATGCCCCCCCTGTGGGATCAGGAGGAAATGTGGGCTCGGTCCCTGCACCTCCCACCATGGGCTCTGCCTGTCTGTGGTGAGGCAGGGGCATGGCCCTCGGGGCCAGATGCTCTAACCGTGAAGCTCTAACTGTGCCCTTAAACACGCAACCCAGGGCTCGCCTGACTGGTGTTGTAGCCCCCCCCCCCCCACCCCGGAAAGAGGCCCATCTGGCCAGGGCTCTCGGGGGTGGGGACAGACAGGTTGGCCCATGGCTTCATATAGTCCCAGCTTCTCTTTGTAGCTATTATAGGCTCCCCTTGAGGCTTCAGCGATGTCAGTTCAAGGTCAGGCTTGGGGCTCTGGCTGACGTTCGGGGTGACATTCAGTCTGAGCTGGGTCGAATCAGGGCTGGACAAAGCCGATGGGCCTCACGGGGGTTACTCCAGCAGCACTGGCCTCCCTACTGTCTCCAGGTCCTCAGCTCAGTCTCTGCCTCCTTTCCCCTCCCCCGTGGGTTCCAGAATGGGGATCTTGTGACCCCCGGGGAACTCTCAAGTCGGGGACCAGGATGCCCGTGACTCAGTGCTGAGACACATCTCGAACATGTGCCTGGCTCAAGCCTGGGGAACCCAAACACACAGGCCTCCGGGTATCCCCAAGTTAGGCACACAAGGTGTGTTTTCCATGTGTCCGTGGATCTGTGGGTGGGTCTGTGCATCCACAGTTGCGAGCGTTTGGATGCCGTTGTTCGTGCCTGCGTGCATATGTGTGCGTGTGTTCTGAGTCTGTGTTTCAGTATCTATGGTGGAATCTGCCTTTGTGTCTGGAATTGCGCGTGTTACCTGTGAGGGCTTCTGCAAAGCACCGCTGCACGTGTGTCTGTGCTTGCTTGTGTAGCGATGCGCTTGTGTGAGTCTGTGCGCTCTGTAGGCCTACGTGTGTGCCCCAGAGGTGTGGCGAGCCCCTCCACATGTGCACGTATGTCTGTGCCCGCCCTTGCGTATCTCTGTGTGTATCTCGCACTTGTAATCGGATCTGGGTGTGTGGGCACCTCTGGGGGGGCATGTGCCTGTGCCTTGGCCGTGCCTCCTGCTTCCTCCCTCCCTGTGGGCCACTTTCTCTTGTAAGCTTATGCATGTGCCTTAGTCAGGCTCTAGAAGGTCCTCATTATTGTGTCTGACAAATAAGGGTGGCCTTCCCGCCCCTGATGCCTATGCTTCCCTGCCTCTGGGCTTCCCTGTGGGGATCCTCCCCACCTCAGCCGCCAGCTGACCCTACGGTGGGGACACGGGGACCAGCATCTGTTCTGTCACTCTCCCCTTGGCTCTTCTCTGGCAGTTTCCACATCTCCCTCTGTTTTCTAGGATCTCCGTGCTCCCCCCCCCCCCCCCCCAGACTCCCAAGCCTTTCCTGAAAGAGCAGGGACTCTTCCTTATGATCTTGAAAGAGACTTGCTCAGGTTTGGGGTATCCGTGGCCAGCTGGATGGAAGGAACCCCCTCTCTGCCTTTTTTCAAAACATCCCCACTGCCTGGGGGTGCCCTTCCTATTCTCTCTTTGTCTGGAGGATGCCCACCCTTTATAGGCATTACCTCCTCCAAGGAGTCCTCCCTGGATCTCTATGCCCCCGTGTGTTCCCCACAGACAGCTACTGTCTTCCCGGGAGTGTGGCACTGCCTGTGGACGTGCTCACCCCCAGACGCACAGGACCCACGACTGTGAACGAAGCAACGGGGATAGGAACAGCAGTGAACTCACACAGAGCAGGCGAGCCAAGTGTGTGAACAGCTGCCTCGGGGTCAGCAATTATATTCTTTGCTGAGCATTTACTAAGTACCAGGCACTGTGTTAATGCTCGGTGTGCAGTGTCTCATTTGAGCTTCATAGCACTTTGAATAAGGTAGGTACACCTAGGGCACCCATTTTACAGATGAGAAAGTGGAGGCATTTCTTCGGGATCACTGAGGGAGATAGGGATGGAGTCAGGACTTAAGCCTTGGCTTTAGTGGCTTGACTAGGAGTCGGCAGCCTGTTGTGGTTACTCCCTGGTCAGCTCGAGGAGTAGTGGGGAGGGGACCATCCAGCTTAGCCCTTGCCTCGCCCAGACCCAGGGCATGGTTCATTCAGCTCTGAACCTGGCTGTTTAAGGAGGACTATTATCAGATTGGGGTGGGTCCCGTAAGGAGGATGTCAGAACAACTTAGCTGGAGGATCCAGGGCGTCTAATAAGAAGAGAAAGGAGTGGGTGGAGCATAGTATCGAAAAGCTCCCTGAGATGGAATTAGACCTAAAGTGCAGGAAGACGGAGAATCATCCGATTCCTTTGGAGGAAGTGACTTCCCTGTCAGTGGAGGCATCCCAGCCTGGCTGGCTGGTGGCTGGGGCATATGTGCTAGCATCACATGAAGCCCCAGGCGACAGGTGACGTCCTTTGCAGACTTGTGAGTGGGAGTCTATGATTTCAATCCTGTCCTGGTTCAAAGATAGCCAGGACCCAGTCGTATCTTCAAGAACCCTGAGTTTCTCAGAGAGGCAACATCATGTAGTAGAAACACCCTGGGTGTCGGTAGCAGAGAGACCTGAGTTCAAATCTAAGCTCTACCTAACTTGTAACTTGGGGCAGGATACTTAAGCTGCGTGCCTCCGTTTCCACGTCAGTAAAGCAGGTGCGGCAATGCTTACCTCAGCGTGTTGTGGGAGGATTAAATGGAGTAATATGCCTGGAACAGAGTAGGTGCTCAGGAAGTGCTCACTTCTCTTCCGAAATAGAGCCAAGAACCGAGCCGGGGGAGGTGTGGGAGACCCTGATGGTTTCACATTACGCTCATATTTAAGCCCATCCCGCAGTTAAGAAGCGGAAGTCCAGACAAGCCAGAGCATTGACTTGCCCAAATTGACAAAGCGAGCTGGAACAGAGCTAGAAGGAGCTCAGGTTCCCTGATTCGTAGCCCAGGGACCTTTCTACCTTAGCCCACGGCACGGGCCAGGCTGGGCTCCCCGCTCTGGGCCTCAGGAAGATGGCTGCCTCGGGGTGACTGACCTGAGAAGGCCCTTTCCTGCTCCTGGGATGGCAGCGTCAGCGACAGTCTCTCCACCCCACCCAGTGGCCGGGACGTGCTGAGTGTTAACCGGCCGCCTCCAGATCCCGTGACGTGCGCCCAAATGGGGGACAGATGGTAGGAGCAGGAGACGCCCAGGGATTGACCCTTGGTGCGGACTCTACAGCCACTAGCCCGGGACCCCAGCCCGCCCACCAGCCTGGGCCCCGAGCCCACCTGTACAGCTGCCCCTCGCTGCCCAGCTGGAAATGCTCATACTGAGCATAGGCCTCGTTGCCTTCCCAGTCTTGCAGCTCCACACGCAGGGAGTAGGCTGTCCGGCCGGTGAGCCGGTGCATCACCTCATTGCCCAGCCAGTGCTCCCCTGCCGGGTCGCCGAAGCCCTGTGGGGAGCGAAGGGTGGGGGTGGGCTTCATGCTGCGATGGGAGGCCGTGCCCCTGGCCGAGAAGCTGGGCTGGGCCGGGCTCCAGGGCCACTTAATCCAAAACCACTTTGCCTAATGACCAAGTCCATAAAGTACAGTGTGGGCAGGCCTGGGGATGGGAGTTCTCCACCTCCTAGAGCAAAAACAACAACAACAACAACAACAACAACAACAACAAAAACCCCCAAGATTTTTGTAAAACGGGGTAAATTCTGTTAAAAATAATTGAAATCACATTTCTGTGGCGTTTCAGAACAGGCAAAATGAATCCGTCGTGCTAGAAGTCAGAATGGCAGCTACCTTTTGGGGGAGTATTGACTGGGGCACGAGGAGGCACAGGGGGGCACCAGAGGGGCTTCTGCGGTGCTGGCAGTGCTGTATATCCAGCTTTGAATGGTGGGCACGTCGGTGAACACATAGGTAAAAACCCACTGAGTATCTTCCGCTTCTAAGATTTGTGCACTTAGCTGCATGTGTGTTGGGCCGCAACAAAACATTAAAAGATTTTAATCGGGGGCATAAATTGTAGAGCGACCTTTGTTGGGTGGCATGGCAACTCCTGCAAAATTTCAACAACACAGAAATGCAAAGCTAAGCGCGTTAGTGTCCCAGGGTGATGAGAAACCTGTCCTCGGCCCGAATACTAATTCAGCACCAAGGACAGGGGCACACCTAAACCCCACTCCCCACTTCGGTCCTGCCTCGCTGCCGATTAGTCTGTTAGTATTCAGTGCTCTTGTGTATTTCTGTGTCCGAGCATCCCCTTTCTTTTTTGCCATTTTAATACTTGTTTAAAACTCAGTTGGCTCAAGGACACTCATATCTTAATTTGGTATTTATTTTTAAGTGTTGGTCGAATGAACAGTACGCAGCCACAACTAATGATATTGTTGCATTTCCACATACCTTCTTCTATTTCTTTTGCTTGTGGAAACTTTAAGAGCTTTTAAGCCAGCTTTGCCAAAAGTTCTTTACTCAAAAGTTAATTTACAACTTGGAAGACACTAGGGCACTACTTCTCATCTTGTAAAATGCACTGGGTCTTTGAGCCAGCAATTCCACATTAAAGAATCTCTCCTGAAAATGTGATTATATATGTGTGCAAAGATAAGGACATTCATTTAAGCAACGCAGTCAGGGGTAGGCAGGGGAGACTACTTTTTTCTGTTCCATTTTTGTATTCTTAAAAAAAATTTGTATGTATAATCTTTACACAAATAAAAAAAATAAAGTTAAACTTTTATTTTTAGGATAGATGTCAGAACCTGCAAAAAGAAGGTTCAATTTCAGGTGAGGGAGTCCCTGACAGTGAATGTGCACTAGGAAAATCTGTTTGAAGGTGGTTGGTTTTAGGTGGGTTGATTCCCTCCCCCCCCCCCCCCCCCCCCCGGGGAGGGTTGAAGGCAAACAAGTGCCCTGCCTACAAGCCCCCTGCCCCAGTTTAAGGGCTGAAAACCCCCTTCAGCAGTGTTACCTGTTTGTAATCTCTCCAGTTCCGCTGGAAATTCACACTGCCATTCTCACGGCGCTGGATGAGAGTCCACCCGCCTCCATTGGCCTCCATGTCACAGAACACCTGGAAGGAATTGGGTGGTAGTGGTGGTGGGGGTGGGGAGTTGGAAGCCCTTGGAAGATGTCAGAAGCAGCTCTAGACCAGCCCCATTTTGATTTGGCTGACAGTTTCACAGAGCAACAGGTGAGCCTGGTGGTCAAGGGCATCAGAAATATCCAGGTTCACATTTCCCACTTAGTGTCATCATTTTTTCTAAAGTCGTGGACAAGTGATGTCCTCTCAGAGCCTTCCTTTCCTCGTTTGTAAAATGTAAGTGTTAAAACCTTAACCTCTTTGTGCCTCAGTTTCTCACCTGCAAGTTGGCTCGACGCAAGAACTATGTATAATGAGTCATCCAAAGAAAAGAGTCTGGGCATATTGGGAACTAAGTAAATGGAGGCTTTTCCCCCGCTGTTATTGCGAGGTTGTGGTAAGGATTAAATGCTGACAGGGGTAACATGCTTGGCGCACGGCGTAGACTCAGGAAATGTTATTACATTCAGCGGGCAAATGTTTTCTGAGCACCTGCTATATACCAAGCTCCATTCAAAGTATGGGAGGTGTCACTATGGATAAGACAGAAAGAGTCTTTCTCTCAAAGAGCTCACCATCCATCATAATCTCTTCTTTCAGCCTAATCTTTGTTCGTACTATTCTTCCAGCCGGTTCAGTACATGTTCAATGTTCAGTGAAGACACACTTGGTCCCTGGTCCCACAGTAGGTGACAGAGACACGTCAGAGATCAATCAACCCTCAGGGCTGGCTTGGTCTGGAGGATATGCCTGGCTGCTATCATGGGGCAGGCAGACTATTGGTTATGAACATTCAGGCAGCCAAGAAGAGCTCCTAAGAAGGAGTCACTGGGCAACCCTGGAAGGCTTCTCAGAGGAGGTAGCATTGGAACAAGGCTTTGGATGATGATGTGACAGGCAGACAAGTGGAAATGGCAGTGGAGGGAGCGGCTCTGAGAAAGCAGAAGCCTGCTCAGGGAGAGGAGACAGTGGCATTTGTTGCGGGAGTAGCAGAGGGTACAGTAAGGGAAACTGAGGTCCAGAGAGGAGAAGGGGCTTTCTCGAGGCAAGTGACACTAAATTACGCTGAGGTCTGAGCCCAGCTCTTTTGCCTCACAGAATTTCACCATAGCTGAATTTCCTATAGAGTGAACCTAATTGCATATAGAATATTTACTTAAAAAGTGGTGTCCCTTAAAAAACAAAAAAAAAACACTTAAATACTTAGGTGAAATGTATTTTAGAAGGAAATCTTACCAGTACCACAAGTCGAACACTAGTAACACTTGCTTTTAGTCAAATAATTGTAAAAATAAATGTAACGAAAACATGAAATTCTAGCTAGACATCGAGGGCCTGATCTCTTTGTTAAAAGAGGAGTTTAGCAGGTGTGTGTGAAGTGTTAAAGACGGCCTGGAAACAAACATATATAAATATATTTTATATTTATATATATATTTATATTTAATATATAGTTATATTATATATTATATTATTATATATTATATTATATTATATTATATTATATTATATTATATATTATATTATATTATATATTTATATTTAATATATATGTATTATATATATTATAGGAAGTCAAAAAAAATTGAAAAGGGATTTAGGAAGAGCAAAGACTGGATACTTGTTCTCCATACTCTTTTACTTCTGGGCCTGGCCTCCAAACCCTCCCTCCTGATACCCACAGTTCCCCTCGACCCCTCATCCATCTCATAAGTGGACCTCCAAAGCCCAGGGCAACATTCACTGAAGACACTCACTGGAGATGGTGGGGTCTCTATTGGCCCTGGTCCCTCATTTCCCACGTGCAGCAGAGCCCCCACACCTGCATTCAACTGGACTATATGTAAATTAGAAATAAACCTCTTTGTGGGGCGCTTGGGTGACTCAGTCAGTTAAGCGCCCGACTTCCGCTCAGGTCATGATCTCACGGTTTGTGGGTTTGAGCCCCACCTCGGGCTCTGTGCGGACAGCTCAGAGCCTGGAGCCTGCTTCGGATTCTGTGTCTCCCTCGCTCTCTCCCCCTCCCCCACCCCTGCTCGCTCTCGCTCTCTCTCTCAAAAATAAACATTAAAAATTTTTTTGAACTAGAAATAAACTTCTTTGTGTTAAGCCCCTGGATTTTCAACGTTTGTTTGCTGTTTCAGCCAGCATTACCTTTTTTTTTTCAATTAAAAATTTTTTTGATGTTTTTTTATTTTTGAGAGAGAGAGAGAGAGGGACAGAGTGCGAACGGGGACGTGGCAGAGAGAGAGAGGGAGACACAGAATCCGAAGCAGGCTCCAGGCTCCGAGCTGTCCGCACAGAGCCCGACGTGGGGCTTGAACTCAGAACTGTGAGATCATGACCTGAGCTGAAGTCGGATGCTTATGACCAGCTGAGCCACCCAGGCGCCCCACAGCCAGCATGACCTTAACCAACACAGAACTGTTTTCTGTCATTCCAACTAAAAGCATCTCTGGAGAAGATGCAGAAGGATGTACTTCCAGCTCTGGGAACTTCTGCTTTAACCCCCACATTCTGACCTCTGACTCCCTTGGAGGCTCCCGAAGGTAGGGTCATCCCACCTTCTCTGGTATCTCAGATGTTGGACAAGGCCTGAAGCTGACTGGGGCGGGGGGAGGCGGTGACCTGTCGGGGAGCCCCTTGGCTCAACACCCTCCACTAGCCTCAGCCCCCAGGGAGTCCCCTAACCTTCCTGGGCTCCGTCATATTGGCCACGTGGATGGTGTAGACGCCACTGGCGTTGGCCCCGAAGCGTTGGATCTCTGCACAGTCCTGGAACACCTGCTCAGCTGCCCTCACGGAGGCTGCAATGTGACAACGCAAAAGCAATCGGAGGTAAGCTAAGGAGAGAGGGAAGGGGCCAGGTGAGCCCTACTTCCTGCCGGGTTCCGGGTTGGGAGATGCTGGGGACAGGGAGAGGTATCAGACCTGAGAAAGTTTCCTAGAGGAGGTGAGCGAGCTGGGGTCTGGATAAGGAGCAGGATCACCTAGGAGAAGGGGAAAATGTTCCAGGCAGAGGGAACAGCGTGTGTGGGGGCTCCAAGGTGGGAACAGTCCTGGCGTGTGCCGGTGATGGGGTGGTGTGGGAAAGTGGTGGAGGCCAGGGAGGCGAAATGACCCACACCATGAGACCAGAGCTGGGCCAGAGCGAGCTATGGCCGTCTGACGAACTGGACGGGAGCAGGGCGAGGCTGGCACAGGGACGTTCAGAGAGGAACGAGAAATGAGGTTGAGTTTCAGCAGGTGCCAGGTCAGCCTCGGATGCCAGGGTGAGGAAGGAACCCAGACTGTGCGGAGGAAGAGGGCTCCGGCTAAAGCGTGGAATGGAGACTGCAGGGGATAAGACTCAAACCAGGGAGGCCGCAGATGAGGCTGCTAGGGTCTTCCGGGAGAGGTAACTGGGGTCGGAACCCCGGTGAGGCACGTCCCCCTCAACCGAGGGCTGGGTCAAGGGCACATAGCTGGGGGCATGGGCAGAGCCTTCCCTGTCTCTAGGTCTTACGAAGGAGTCCTTAGAGCACCCTCCGGTAGGAGGCACAACCCCACGGTGCCCTTCCCTGGTGACAGCAGGGCAGGGGCACGGGGCGTTTGGGCAAAGGGTGCCTGAGGCCAGGCGCCCAGCACAACCTCCTACCCAGCCTGGCGAGCAGACACGGGATCACAGCTGGAGACTGGGTTAGCGGTGAGCCTGCGGGCAGAGGCGCCGGGCCCGGGCCTGCATCCGGGGCTGAGCTACAACAGACCCACACATGGGACTAATTTAGGCAGTGTCACTGCCAGGGCTATGGCACAAGCCAGTGATGCGTTCGGGTCCCTCCATATCTCATGGTTTGGAAGGACTCCACTTCTGCCCGTGGCTTCCTTGGGGCCTCACATCCCTCAAACCCAGCAGGGCCTGCCCCACTTAGAGCCCTGGTGCCATCCTCTGGCCCTAAATCGCTGCCAGCCTTAGTGCCTGGAACGCGTCACTCCGGCTGGATTCCTTGTGCCATAAAGGCTTCCTGGCCTCCTGCCGTGCTGATCCTGCAAGGAGTGGAAACACGTTCCTCCGTCTTTCCCTCCCACCCAGCCGTTCTCCACTGCCCGCTTCCAACTGAGCTTCCCAAAACACAGTCCCGCTGGGTGTAAAAACCTTCCCACCGCTCCTGACTGTCCTCAGGTTGGTGTTCTTTCTCCTCAGCCCCGCCTTTTAGGTCTTCTGTGGTCTGGAAATATCAGCTGCATTGCTGGCACACAGTGGGTGCTCAGTTAGGGTTCTGCTGACTGACTCAAGCTGAAACCAGCAAGGCCTCGGCCACCCCAAGCGGGCCCCCTCAGAAGGAGTCAGTGAGAACCGACCCCGGCCTTGATCTCCCCTCTCAGCATCCAGGGCCAGAGATGCCTCCTCACTTCTGTGGGACTCTCCTGGGTTTAGGGACAAGGGCAACAGGGCGAGAGAAGGCCTTGGGGAACACTGAGTCCAATCTCTCCGCTCTACAGATAGGGACACTGAGGCTGGGGGAAGGGTGGGGCAAGCCGAAGCAAGGGAGGGTGTCGGGTGGATCCTGGAGCCCAAACTTATGCGTCTGGGCCGGGGGGGACTCCTTATTGTTATCACTTTCACAAATAGATGGCGAAACTGAGGCCAAGAGAGGGACATGCCCAAGGTCACTCATGGAGTTAGGGGGTGGCGCCTGCATTGGCTCCTCCTAGGACGCTCGTCCTCCTCGTTGTTAGTCTTCGTTGTCGTTTCTATCTCCCAGGTGCCGGGAGAGGGGACGGGCCTTGCCCGCAGTGGCTTCCAGCGAGGCGGGAGGGTAAGCCGGATCTCCCTCCCCTCCCCTGCCCTCCTCCCGCACCGCACCAGGCGCGCCCTCGCTCACCCGGGCCCTGGGCCACGACGCGCACCAGGCGCTGCACGGACTCCAGCAGTTGGCGCTGTTGGCGCTGCAGGAGGCTGGAGTTGCTGCTGGCGGCGCGCAGGCTGCGCTCCAGGCCCGCGAGGGCGCCGCTCTGGCGGCCCAGCAGCCGCCGCAGCCGCTCCTTCTCGCCGCGGAGAGAAGCCAGCTCCGCCTGCTGTTGCGTCTCCAGGGCCTGCACCCTCGTCTCCAGCGCGCTGCGGGGCGGGGGAGGGGGGGGGGCACGCGCGTCAGCCCGCTGTCCCCCCCCCCAAGTCACACCCCGAGGGGCGGCCCCCGGGGCCGGGGGGCGGGGGGCCCTCCCCCCCCCCCCCGGGCCGGCGGCCCCGCGCGGGGGGGCCCCCCCCCCGCGTCCCCCCCCCCCGGGGCGGGGGGGGGGGGGGGCGTGTCCCCCGGCAGCAGAGAGCGAGGAGGGGAGGCAAGAGAGACCGGAGACCTGGCTCTGGAAGAAGATGGATGGATCGGGGTCCATAGAAGAAAGGGGTGGTGGTGGCGGGGGCGCCTGGGTGGCTCAGTCCTTAAGCCCCCGACTCTTGATCTCTGCTCAGGTCACGATCACCGGGTTCCTGGGATCCAGCCCCTCGTGGGGCTCTGCACTGCTTGGGATTCCCTCTCTCTCCCTGTCTGTCTGCCCCTCCCCTGCTCTCTTTCTCAAAATAAATAAATACGAAATAAAATTGAAATAAAGAGAGAGAGGGGCGCCTGGGTGGCGCAGTCGGTTAAGCGTCCGACTTCAGCCAGGTCACGATCTCACGGTCCGTGAGTTCGAGCCCCACGTCGGGCTCTGGGCTGATGGCTCAGAGCCTGGAGCCTGTTTCCGATTCTGTGTCTCCCTCTCTCTCTGCCCCTCGCCCGTTCATGCTCTGTCTCTCTCTGTCCCAAAAATAAATAAACGTTGAAAAAAAAAAAAAAAGAAATAGAGAGAGAGAGAGAGGTGGGGGTGGAAGGATGTGCCAGGAATAATAGCTTTGATATCAAAGCTTTTGATATCAATGCCAGCCTTGATAAGGATGTCCTTATCAAGTCCACAGTATGCCTGCCCTTTGACCTAGCAGTCCGCTCCCAGGAGATAACCTCTAGGGAGCATGGGCAGGAGTGCCCCTTGGGGGATCGGTTATAATAGAGAAAAAGGAAGGGCCTGAGCCTGTGCTGTCTCCGCGTCCCTGGAAACGCTCTGGGGGCAGAGCGCATCTGGGCGGAATTGGAAAGATGCCCAGGACCTGAGCGGGACTGCGCTCTGGACACGAGTGCCTCTCGTCCAGCCCCACGTGTGGGTGACCAAACAGAGGAAGGAAAAAGGTATTGCTGTAAATGCAGAGGGAGACCCGTGAACTTATAGGAAAAGGCTTAGAGAGGCACGTGGAAGGACATGGTGGTGCCTGTGTTTGCAGAGAAAGTGAAAGAAAATCCACGAAGCGTTGTTATTCCTGCCGAGCGATCGAGCAAGCGTACGAGCGGGCTGGAGTGGATGGTGATGGAGAGGAGGAAGAGGGGAGGCGGGTGGGGGGAACCGACTTTCCCTTTCATTTTATACGGGTCTCTATTGTCTGGCGATATAATAAGCACGGAGCGTTTTTGGCACGAGTTTAAAAAAAAAAAAGAGTTTAAAAAAAAAAACGCTTTTGACTCAACTCTTCCACTTCTGGCATTTTCGCCTGCAGGCTGGCTCACGTGTGTGTGTGCAGCGAGGTACGGGGACATTATTCACCGCCTCACGTTGAAGAGTAGAGAAAGACAGGAAACAACAACCTTACTGCCCATTCGCTGGGGACGCCGGGAAAATTAGGGTGGGCACAGCCATGGGGTGGAAGGTTATCCAGTTGGACAAAAGAACGAGCAACATGCAATGACGGAATGGCTTCTGGGATACTTGGGAAAAAAAGCTGGATGCTCCATTTGGGATCAAGAAGGATAAAAAAAGGGACATATTTGTTTACATATGCATAAGAAACCCCTGAACGTCAGCTTACAGAATGTCCGCTGGGGGACAGGGATTTCTGTCTGGTGTTCACTTCTGTACCCCCCAGTGTCTCATACAGTGTCTCACATGTGGTAAGAGCTCAAAAAAACGATTGGTGATTGAATGAATGAAAGGATGCGCACACACGCACACACGCACACACACACACACACACACAAAGCCAGGGAGAGCGGTTACCTCTGCCGTGGGTGGGTGGCTGACTAAGGGATGGGGATAGGAGGGAGACGTTCTCCTATCTGTAAGGTTACGCCAACCCATTCTCCAGACTAGCACAATGAGGGGGCAGAAGGAATTCCCCCCCCTGAACCCCAAAGTATGCCATAGGAAGAGAAAAAAAACAGGGGCACACTCGGGTTCTAGAAATTTAGCTGTCTCCATGGGCCAATAGCATATTGGTGATAACCTCCCTCTACACGGATTTCTAGACAGTGCCGATTCAGACTGTCCCAGTCCCTGGCCTGCCCCACCTTGGAGTGGCGGAGTAGGAATAAGAAGGTGGACAAACTAGCATCAGCTGTACGCGGATCAGAGAGACCCGGATGAGCCTTAGGTCCTTATTGTGACCGGCGTGCGAGCAACTGTAACACTGTAACATCTCCCCCTGTACAGAAGGGGGTGGCTGCGTCAGTGTGTGGGTTTTGCCTCCTCCGGCACCCTGACCTTGACAGTTTTTCTCCACTCAGCTCGAAACCAAGATGAAATCAGCCTCAGATGCCAGTTTCTCTGCCTAAGGAAGGAAGGAAGGAAGGAAGGGAGAAGGAAAGGAAAAAAAAAAGGAAGGAACGGAGAAAGAATCAGGGCGTCCTGAGCCCCCAGGGATATGCCTGTCTCCCGTCTCCACCCAGGGGTGCTTGCTGGGCCCCCAGCCCCACCTCAGCCCAGCCCCAGGGCCCACCTTTTCTCCCAGCTTCAGTCTGGACTCCAACCCTGGTTTCCGTCCTTACCCCAGCTCTGGCTCCAGCCTGAGCCTCCCAAGTGTTCCCTCATGTCCGCCCTAACCCCGGGGCCCCAGCTCTGGCCCCCGCCCCTGTCCAAGGTACTAGCCCAAGTCCAGCTTCCAACCCTGGCCCCCGCCCCGGCCCCGGCCCCGGCGCCCACCCTGGGTCCCAACCCCACGTGGGTCCTGGGCTGGCCCTCGCCCCCCAGCCCTGTCCCCGGCCCCGTGCCAGGATGCTGGTGCCCACTTGTTGCGGCCCTGCAGCCGGTGCAGCTCGTGACCCTGCAGTAGCAGCTGTTTCTCCAGCTTGTTGGTGGACAGCGAAGTCTCCAGGAGCTGGATCTCCATGCGTGACGTCTGGTTCAGGACCTGTCCCGGCAAACAGGAAGGGGTAGGGGGCTGCGCGAGCCCTGCGGGAACGCGCCTCGGCCGCCGTCCACCTGCCCGGGGGCTCTGCCATTCCAGAAACTCGCTGACTTATTTCTATCCTCGCTGCAGTTAGTTTCTACGGTCGCTCACTCGCTCACTCACAGGCCCTGAGTTTATGATCTGCCTTCTGAGTTTGCTCTTCCCCATCACTGCGCATGACAGTTCTGTTTTTCTGGTTGCTCAGGCCCCAGGAGGAGTCGCCCTTGAGCACCCCCTCCCCACCCCAATCTAATCTATCACCAAGTCCTGTCAGATCCACCTTCCAGATGGCCAATCATGGCCTTCAGTGCCCCGCGCTGTCGTCTGCCCCCAGTGCCTCTCTCTGCACCCTTGCCCACCCCTCTCCCCCTGGTCGTTCCAGCCACACTGACCACCCTGATGTTCCTGGAGCTTGCCGGCCCAGTCCCACCACTGGGCCTACTCTGAGTGAGCCTGGCTCCCATCCTACCTTCTCCGCAGTGCCTTCCTGGCTTCACCGCCTAAACTCGCAAGCCATCCCTGCACCCTAGCGCGCCCTCCCTCTCCCCTGCCCAGGCTGTTTTCTCCTGGACACGGTCACCCCCTGACACGTGCAAGTTATTCTTCCTGTTCATTTCCCTGGTGGTCACTGGAAAGGGAGGTCCACAAGGGTCGGGATGCATGCCTGTTTCATTTACTGCTATAACCCGGAACCGGGCGTCTCCAACAGTGCCTGCACATAGTAGGGATTCAACGGACACATGCCTATTTGTCATTCGATCTTTTTATCCATTCACTTACTCACCCTCCCGTTCGTTTATGTGTTTGCTCCCTCCCTCCCCTTCCGTTGCTCTTGAGGTTGAGTGAATTGTTTATTAGCCATCTCTCCCCGGGAGCCCTCTGAGCCCCCTGAGGGCTCATCCCAGTGCCCAGTGCAGACCTGGAGTGTCCCTGGAGTCACAGAGGCAGAAGCACCACACCCGGTGTCTGCCCCCAGGGCTCGTGGCCTGGTGCTCATGTAATCGGGTCATCAGGGAAGGGGCCCAGGGTGCTACAGGCCCAGAGGAGGTCCAGACCTGAGCCAGGGATAGAGGCTGAGGCAAGATGACCTGGGCTGTGAGCCGGCCCGGCTGGCCACAGCCTCCCCCCTCCCCCTCCCCCCCATGCCACCTGCTCGCCCTCCATACCTGAGCCTCCACATCAGTCAGCTTGCGGGTCTGGGCCGTGGTCTGGTTCAAGAGGCTGGTGCCTAGCTCCAGCATGGTGGCCGTCTGGTTCTGGACCATGTGCTGTTGGACCTGTGCCAGCTCTGACCTCAAGTTCATCTGGATGTACCTTTCTAGCTGTGGGGAGACCGTGGGCCGGGGTCATGGGTAAGGGCTGGAGGAAGGCTCCTGTCCCTTCCTGCGTCTCCATGAAGGGCAAAGAGCAACCAGGGGAGGCCTCTCTGCCAGGCCGGGCCACCCTAACCTCTCACCTGGACCATCCCAGTAGCTTCCTCCCTGGCCTCTCTGCCTCCACCCTGGTCCCATGCACAAGCCATCCTCTACTCAGCAGCCAGAGGCATCTTGTTAAACCTAAGTCAAATCGAAATCCTCCTCTGCTAGAAAGAAACCCTCTCAGAATTCCTATCTTAGAGGAAAAGCCAAAGTCCTCCCTATGACTTCAGCTTCCTCCATGATCCAGCCTTCTGTTCCCGCTCTGATTTCGTCTCTCAGTCCTCTCCCTCACCCTGCTCCAGATCACTGGCCTCTGTGACACCCCTCCAACACAGCAAGCATACCCCTACCTCAGGGCCTTTGCACATGCTGTTCCCTCTGCCTGGAAACTCCCTCCATCTCATCCCCATCTGCATGCCTCACTCCCTCGTGTCATTTCAGGTCTCTTCCTACCACTTACGACTCCCCGACTTTGTATTACATATTTATCTGTCAGTTGTCTGCTTTACCCTTGGAATGTCAATTCCACGAAGCTGGAGACTTGGTCTTCCTCAACCATTATCTCTGCGTCTAGCACAATGCTTAGCGCACAGTAGGCGCTCAATAAATATGAGTTCAATGAATTGATAGAAAAAGGGGAGCTACAAGGGTCAGAGAATAGCCCCCAATGTCATGCCCATTACCCAGCCACCAGGGAGTGGGGATGCATCCTTCCCTGCAGGAGAGTTTGCAGGTCTATCCATCAAGCTGGACTTTTCTGTTTTCTGCTCCCCTCCATCTGCCAAATGGGCTGAACCGGACAGTCTCCAAGGGTTCTCTCAGCTAGGATGTTCTGGGATCCCACGGGCTAATCTCTTTCCCAAGAGCAGTTGAAGCTGGTCTGGCATGAGACCAGGATCAAGTTGCAAAGGTGAACAGCGTGTTCTCCGGGCTCGGTGCCCGCAGGCAGAGAGCTGGCGCCCCTCCTCTATTCTCTCTCCATTCTGCACACATCCTGGCCTCTGGCCATCATCCCTACCCCCTGGCCCTGGCTCCGTCCCTTGCCCTCTTACTTAGTCTTCCAGGAGGTCTGGCAGGGCAGCTCCCAGGATCCCTGGGAAGACAGGCATTCCCCAGGGAGGGGTGGTGACCTTGGCTGGAGTGGGGGCAGGCAGGCTCTGGCTGCTTCCTCCTCGGTCTCTTCTCCCCTCTTGCATCTTAACAGTCTGCCCTTTTCCCTGCCCCCAGCCCCCTGCCGCCCCCTCTCCTGCTGTCCCCCCTTCCCAATCCCCCCCTCCCCACTATGATCATTTGGAGTGTGTGCCCTTGTAGTGCAACATCAGATCCTGGAGGGGGCGCATGTGGGTGGTGCTGGTATTGACTACAGCAGGGCTTCTCAAAGTGTGGCCCTTGGAGCTTGTTAAAAATGCAAATTTCTAGGTCCCACCCCAGACCTACCGAGTCAGACACCCTGGGGTGGCGCCCAGCCGCCCAGGTGAATCTGCTGCTCAAGTGTGAGAACTGGGGTGGCAGTCACAAAAGGGACTGAGGACCAGGGAGACGGGCACATGGGAGCCTCTCAAGTCTTCGTCATATTGGCCCGTTCCTTCCTTCCCTGCATTATCAGCACCCCACCCCCACCCCGCCCCGCCCCACTGTTCCCTGTAACACACAGGCGTGATCCAACCGCTTCCATCTAAAAACAAATTCTTGACCCCACAGTCCCTCCAACTGCGTCTCCAATTTCTCCGGTCCCCTCAACAGCAAAACTTCTTCAACAAGCTCCTCCGTTTCCTTGCCTCCATGACCACCCTCGCCTCTAAAAACATTAACAATGTTATTATGGTGTGCATACAAGAAAGCTTAAGGAATAATATAAGGCAGTCTGTGTATTTGCCCTGTTCATGAAAACAAATATAACCCAGACTGTAGAATTCGGTGCTCTCTGCCCTCCCTCCCCCTTCCCTCCTTAACCCGCCTGGTCATCGTCTCCTGGATGGAGGGACCCTTCCATGGCCTCTGACTCTCCCCCTCAGCAGCAGTTAGCCCAGATGGCCACACCCGCGTCCTGGAAACACTTTCCAGATGCTCCTTTCTCCTAGCTGTCCTCCTATCCGTGGTCACCCCCGCTCTGCCCCCTCCTTTACCAGGCTTCTACATGTTGGGGGCTCTCAGCCCAGTTCTGGGCCTTAGTCTCTCTGCATGTTCTCTCCCTAGGTCAGGGGTCCTTAGTGGGGACCACAGGGTCTGCAAAGAGAATTCAGGGGGGCCCACGAACTTTGCTAACCTGTAAGTAAAATTTGGCATTTCCTTCGATGATGAACGTGGGCCACAAACCATAGCACTCTTAGCTCATCCCGCCCCTCCATTAATCCCTAGAAATCACCAGTATTTCCATACCACAGTGCAGGCGGTACAGTATCTTATTCTGTTTCTGCTCATCGGGACCTCAGAATGACGGACATCCTCGGACCCACCACCGGACAAAGCTACAACCGTAGCACAGATCTAATATTGAGTATTTTGACCGCACTGGCAAGATCGTTGGGCGTTCGGACACTTTTATTTTATGCATTTAAAAGTATCGCTCTGGGGGCGCCTGGGTGGCTCAGTCGGTTGAGCGTCCGACTTCACCTCAGGTCATGATCTCACGGTCTGTGAGTTCGAGCCCCGCGTCGGGCTCTGTGCTGATGGCTCAGAGCCTGGAGCCTGCTTCGGAGTCTGTGTCTCCCTCTCTCTCTGCCCCTCCCCTGCTCATGCTCTGTCTCTGTCTCTCTCAAAACTAAATAAACATTAAAAAAAAATTTTTAAAAAAAAGAATAAAATAAATAAATAAATAAAGTATCGCTCTGAAAAGGGATCCGTTAGCTTCACCCAAGACCAGATGTCAAAGCAGACGGGGCCCCAGGAGCCTCAGTGCCTGCTGCAGGTGCTCTGGCTAGGCCCGGGACAGTCATGTGCCGACGACACTGGCTCCGTCTCCCCCCCCCCCCGACTTCTCCCCTCCGTGTGCCACCAGCTCACCGTCCCCACGCGGGCTTCTAACGAGCATCTCAAGCAAAAACACCCGCCATGGAACCCTCGGTCCCTCAGCCCCCACTGCCCTGTCTCGGCATCCCCCACCACTCCCCTCTGCAAGCGACCCCCCCCGCCCCCCGCCCCCCTTCGCCATCTTTCCCATCTTGGCAGCTGGCCTCAAACCCAGACCTCCTCCTCCTCGCTTCTTTTTCTCGTCTGCTGCAGTCAGTCCCCTAGTGGGTTCTGGCTACCGCGATCCCAATGCGAGTTTGGAATCTGCTCGCTTCCCCACCGGTCAGCTTCCCCGCCTTGCCTCTATCGCCTGGGATTGCTGATACATGGCTGCTGGGGCACCCCAGAGTGCGTAGACGAGGCCGAGCTATCCTGAGGCTGCTCTCACACTCACTCTCCCACGAGTCACAGACCTCGGGGACCCTGGTTTCAAACGCAGACGACCAGACCCTGAGCTTCAGCTCCAGGCAGATAAAGAGCCAGTTCAGACTTTCTCGGGAGTCTCCCCTCAAGCCTCTCATTTGCAGACGGACAAACTGAGGCCCGGAAGACTGGCCCAAGGTCACTACCTGGTGGTCTAGGTTCCCTGACTCCTGGCCCAGGGCCTTCTTCGGGCCTGCAGAGCTGAGCTGGGGACCCACGGTAGCTTGGGGTCATCTCAAGTGACAGGAGTTCCCTAAGTACCCGCACTGGTCCCACACTTGTCCTGTGGCTGCGAGTGGCTGGGTGGGGCAAAGGCCACCCACAGCTGGGGCCCATCACCCAATTTACCACACCCGCCCACCAGCATGGGTCCTAGGATGGGTAATGTGGGCCAGATGGGCCCATTATGGCCACGCTGGACTCTGGTGAGTAATGTTGGCATGTGTGGTGGGGGCTGGGTCTGGTCTAGGGCCCAGGCACAGGCTGGAAGGATGGGGGAGGGGTCCCAATGAAGGAGCCCCCCCACGTCCCCCCATAGGATTGGACCTGCCCCTTCCTTGTCACCCTCATGCTGCAGATTCTCAGGGTTGAGAGGGGGGGGGGGGGGCAGGGGCCTGACCTGCCACCACCTCTTCAGCCTGCAAAGGGGCTGATCTCTGGCCTTCGGGGTATCAACCCTCTCCCTTTGGCCCCGGGTTTGAGTTTTGGCTCTATGACACTCCAACTGTGGGTCTTTAGTACTCGAGGGCTACGTGCCTCTGAGCCTCACTTTATTGATCTGTGACACGAGGACAGGAAACCTTGCTCCTTGTTGGGGAGAGGGCGGCTGAAAAGCGACTTGAGGGAAAGGAAAGGAATTTAGACGGGCAGGGGGCTGGTTGAGGAAGGAGGGTATTCTGGACAGACCACAGATGAGCATCGAAACGGATGAACAGTCTTCGTGGCCCAGGAGGTCCCCTCAAGCCTGCTTTTCTCCCACATCGTTTACATAAAAAAAGACTGCAGCTGGGGAATGGATAAGCAACCATGGTCCGTCCATCCAGTGGACTCTACTCAACAAAGAAAAGAAAGGAGTTGGTGATCCACACAATAATGACTCAAAGAGAGTCTGCAGGATTCCATTTATGTGACCTTCTGGAAAAGCCAGAATCCATGGTGTTGCCAAGGACCGGGTCTGTGGTGGGAATGCACAGCGAAGGGTCACAGGGGAACTTTCTGGGGGGTGTTGGCAACGTTCTGTGTCATGACTGAGCGTGTATATTTGTCAGTGCTCACAGAAACGCCCCGGGTGGCTCAGTCCATTGGGCGCCTGACTCTCGGTTTCAGCCCCGGTCGTGATCTCAGGGTTCACGAGATCGAGCCCGGCATCAGGCTCTGGGCTGGCGGTGTGGAGCCTGCTTGGGATTCTCCCTCTCCCTCTCTCCGCCCCTCCCCTGCTCAATCTCCCTCTTGCTCTCGTGCTCCTCTCTCTC